TTCTCTGGAAATTTCAAAGAATGGGTAATAACTTCTTACTTTCTTATGTTGGGAGGATCCACCTTTTGGTGGCAACCACAAAGACAATAAGCAGATATTACACACTCTAATCTGGCTCGGATACCAATTGTTGCGGAAGACGGCTATCGGATAGAGCAAAATCACAACTGATAATTTGAGAAAATAAAAATGAAGATAAAAGAGACACAAAATTTACGTGGAAAACCCCTAAATAATATAGGGTAAAAACCACGGGCAACGGTAGAAGAATTTCACTATGAGAAAATAGGAATTACAACCTCTCTCGATCTACCAATGAGAAAACAATGATAATTCTCTCTTGATAAAAAGGAGAAAACAACTCTCAAGAAACTCTCTAAATTCTCTCTAGTATTGGAAGAAAGCTAGAATGCTTTGGGATGGTTTTGAAGCTAAATGAGGTAGGGTATTTATAGTTGAAGCCTTAAGGACTAATCTTATAAATACCCTAAATTGCAATGACTAAATTTGTCATTTACCCATTACATAAATTCAAAATTTGGTGGCCAAATTTTGACCACATTTGCCGTCCAATTATTTTGCCATTTTCAATGCACCGAAAGTGCAAAGACTTTCAACACTTTCTTGATTACCCGAAACTCCTTGTCACCAGGTACCTCCGAATTCAGGAAGAAGTTTAATGACTCGATGCAAAAGAGAACCATGGAAAGGCTGTAACAGAACTTCATCACCGGGATCGAGCCTTATCGGAGTGATCATGCCTACGGTCGGTTTGTCTAACCAGACCACCTTACCACATGTACTGTGAAGGCCTCTTCGGAATTCAATCACAATCCTCCAGAGCTCTGAAAATGGCCCTGCATTGACATCAACCACAAGTAGTATGAAGCTCGGTGTATCATGTCGTCTGTGTAACTTATGGTCAGTTCCCTCCATGGCACTTAGAGGCACATCCTTCGAACTCAAACTAGAGTTGTCGCTTCTATGACTCATATCTGATCTCCTTGAAGAATGATAATCGGAATTTAGCTTTAGTTGTATCTTCTTCAGTGCAGAAGGAAGATAGTTGCATTGATCAACAACCGAAACACTTATTCCAAGACCCTGCATAATTTTTTGTGTGAAACTCTTCGCCTTTCCTTGTTTTGCATAAAGAGAAGAACCTGAGAACCGACCGACTTGGGGCTAGTACTACGGATAGCGAGTTTTAGACTTGAAGTTCAAGTGGCAAAGCTCAGACTAGGAGGGCGGATGGCATCACCTTGAGTCTCCTTGTCCCCTTTTAAATTGCCGCTGGAGGAAATCTCACATGTGAGGAAAACATTGAATCTGAAGGAAGTCCCCTTTTCACCGATCTCTTTATCGACAACTCCGATCTCTCCGCTCATTAGACGTACCTAACAAAGAAATATTCGAATTAGCCATTCATGCATACAATGAAATGTACTACGTACTTTCGTACATACGTATGTATAGAACCTGTTTAATATATAGCAGGAAACTAAGGTTGTGCAAATATTTGTGACTTACCAGAGACTGAAAAATTCCAAGGCCTAATCCAGTGCCTTCTTGTCCAGCTTCTGTTTCTTTAACCTGAACATAGTTTTCGAAAACAGATTTTTGTTTCTCTTTGGGAATCCCTTTACCTGTATCATCTACCTTGAACATGATCTCAACGGAATCAGGATTCTGCATAACTGCACTAATTGCTTTGACGTCACCATTAGTTTCGTTATTGTCGTTAAACAAGCGGGACAAGTACTTGTGAAAACCGTTCAGGCTAGAAGAAAGTATTCCGGTTTCGAAATCAGGCTTTCTAACCCAAGCTCTAAGGCATACATGCCCTTCATCAGTAAACTTAACAGCATTGCTTAGCACATTACTTAATATCTGCATGAGTTTCCCTCTGTCACTTTTCACTAGTGTGAGCTTGATAATGGATCCATCACATGAGTCCAAAACAACATCTACACCCTTGATCATACCCACGGGATGATACAGATCATCTACATGTTCAACCAGATCAGCCAAATTGAACTCTTGTTCTACTAGATTCATCATGCCGGCTTCGATTTTGCTAGTATCCAATATCGAATTAAGCAGCCCTGCAAGTTATATGCAGCTAATTAGACCCATGTACTGATAATTAAAGTTTTGCAAGCTAAAAGCAAGGGAAACAAGTTACCTAATAGAGCTTGTGCACAATGACTCATTTGCTTTAAATATGACTCGAAATCGGACCCGGGGGGCTTCATTCGCGAGGCATAAATCTATGAAACCATTGATTCCGGCCAACGATGCTTGGATATCATGGCTGGCACCAACCAAGGCAAGGCTTTTGTTCATGCTCTTTCTCTCGGCTTGTTGAGTCGCTTCCACTTGTTTTATGAGCTTGTCGTGCAGGAACACCTCCCTTTGAGCCGTGTTGCCCATTGAGGTTATGAAAACACAAGTGCAATCACCAGAAACACAATTGTTGCTACAAGAGCAATGTGAGAATGATTGATTTTGCTGTGAACAAGGCTTGCTGATCCTTTTCGAGGTGATGCCAATGCATATACCTGAAACCGAACTGAAACTTGTTAAACACGAACCGAACATGATACTTTAGAGAAAATGAAGAATGCGGATAACATAGGATAAAAACTGAACGTACCGATTGCACTCCCGATATTTCTACTGCTGAACAACTAACACTGTACTCTTTTTCACCAATGTACATGATATGGGATTCTGGTGTAGTGCATGAAACATTTTGAGCACCATTTGGATTCATCATCTGTAAGAAAATGGAGCTATTAACATAGATGAATTTGGTAAAGAGAATAATAGTTAAACCGTTAGGTAGAAAATTACCAGAACGATGAGGACGGTGACAGGCCGTGACGCTATCTGTAAGCTGAGCTTCATTAGATTTTCGAGATATAATTTATGAACAATCTCTGCATTATAAAGGAATCAGTAAGAAAATCTGGGTAAAAACCAGTTTACCTTGTGAGATTTAACAAATCTAGTTAAAATCCATTATCACTCTTAAATTACATTTTCCTTTTCTTTGCATGCATATTAAATAAGTATAATTTTTTTCAAAGAAAAGCAATCTCATCTTATTCTTTTTCCTTGAATAAAAAGATTCACTTTCTTTAACTTTTAATTGTCATAAAATACATATATTCTTTGAAGGAGAGCACAAGAATGAACTCCTCGTTACAGAAGACAAGTGAAGAAAATCCATACCTGAAAGAATTCAAAGAAGAAAAAGATGAACACAGAACTGAACCTTTTAGTTTACAAAGAAGTGAAAGATAATACATAAACTCATATGTGTATGTATATCTATATATACTCAGAAAAATAAAAGAATGAGGATTTAGAAAGGTGAAGTGAAGACCTGAGAGATGACTGAGTACTGCACTGTCAGAAGGGTGTGTTTGTTAATGAATAATGATGATGATGCTTAAATAGAGAAAGCAAGGAACGCATGCACGTTCGGCTTCATGCAAAATTCTGCAGTTTTTAGCTCTTTTTTTTCTTCTTCTTTCAAAACAAGATTACCTGCACACGGTAATTATATACACTTAAACTGAGATTTGGGTTTCTTAATTATGAATATATCCAAAACAAAAAGTCCACTTTGCATAACGTTACACTTTACATGTTGTTGTAGTTTAGTTTACGTTTATTCAATTTTATCATTCACTTTATAAAATAAATAAATATCTGAATTTTTACTAATATTAATATTGAAATATTGCACGAGCTTTTATTAAAAAAAATCATACAAACCAACCGACCTTAGTAGTTAAATGATTCTTGTTATCTTTTAAGATTCGGGATCGAACACCATGTATGCATGGATACGAGAGTTCAATGTAAAAAAAGTTAAAAGTCTTTAAACATATACTATCTTATATGCACTCATACTATTTAAAAATATTGTAAAATAATACTATTAGCGTTACGTTAGTTCTAATAATTTTACGATTATCGATATTTGTCCAAATTTTTAGTAAGGAATCATTTAAACAAGGGCAATGTTAATTATATTTTCTGAAATGAGTAACCACTGTAATTGAAAAGTGAGGCTCGAAATCAATGCTATTATGTTTAATGAAATGATTTTCTATGAAATTTAGACATTACCAACAAAGCATCCCCTTGTTTCCATGATAGCCAACCGAGGACTTCGTTAAACTTTTTACAAAAAGGAGACACGAAAATGAGGATATTTATGTTCAAAATTTTATGCAAGAAGCCATTTAAATATAAGAATGGCACGAGATGGCTAAGGGAGTATATGTTTATAATTTTTTTTAATTATAGACAATATTTATATATTCTCTTTAATTATTGAGATCACTTCTTGTAGATATTTTTTTAGATCAATTAATTAACTGAGTAGTTAAGGATATTTATGTTTAGAGATGTTTATCGAGAGAGTCAATTGCGAGTTGGGCAATGCTCGACTCGTGTTCATTAAAAAGTTTTGTTGTTCGACTTAATTTGTTGCTCGTTAAGTTCAGAAATTTTTTGGGTAGGATAATTAAGATTTGATATTTGGATGTAGTAAATTAATAATTAATAATTAATAATTTAATATTTTCTTATTGTTTATTAAAAAAATTAATATATTAGTAGTAATTATTGATTAATAATTTAACATCTTTCTTATTATTTATTAACAAATTAGTAATTATTATTTAGACTTTCTTTTTTAATGCAATAATTTTTAAGGTAACTACTAAAAAATTATATAAAAAAATTCTGCTCGTAAATTTATCACAAATATTTGTGTTAAAAGTCTTATAAGAAAAATCATTTAGATGACAGTGTTAACTATATTTTACGATGATCTGAATTATTTATGGCAAAGAATTTGAAGGATTGAAATGAGAATTTAACAGAAGTAAATACTCCCTTAGAAGAATAGGTAGGGGTTGCTGTGCAGATAAATTTGACTATTTCATCCTTCCTCTTCAATAAAGCCCATTAATCAGCGCTGGAAATCAATATTTTATGACGTTTTATCTATTGATACCAAAAAAACAAAGGAATTTGGACAATATGGGCATAGGTATAATGCCTCAGATCACAAATGGGAAGCAACAATTATGAGCATACAATAAGACTGTCTGTCGGGCACTGTGATGCTGCTGCTGCTGCTCAATCATCATCTCCATCCTCAGCGACGGCAATTTCCTCCGAATCCAGTCGTCGAATGTTGTTTTGAATGGCTGTAATCGATCGAATCACTATGTACATTGGGACTAAAATTCCAGTAGCTCTCATTAACAGTATCTGTAACATTAATGCCAAAAAATAAGTCATCTTAGAGACAGTGCTCTAACAACAGCAACAGAGACGAATAAAATCCAATACTTACCATAAGAAGAGCAAATGGGTAATGATCTGTTTCGCCATTGATGACATCAATGATATGTTTTACGAGCAAAATCACAGTGAACTGGCAAAATTTCATGTGCAAACTTCATTCAAACCTTCCAAAAATCAATGATTTATAAACAATGGAGTAAAGGGTTAAACTTAAACGTACGGTGAGAGCCATTGATCGGCAGCAAGAGGCACCCCTTTCGACGGCGGAAGTACATTGAGAGAATTCATTTTCATCGTTCATTGCTTGGTGTTGTGGTTCAACCTCTCTTCTGGGAATTTGCAGGCTATCTCTGAGAACAAAACAAAAAAATTAATCTTTTTTATTAATTAAAATAATAGAAAAAGGCTGCTTAATGGAATAGAGGAGATTATAGTATTATTAGAAATCAGTGATTAGCGGAAAAGGCAAGTCTAGGTCTGGTTTTTTAAAATTAAAAATACAGAACTTTTTAAAAAATAAAACAAAGATGAACACATGTTTGTTAAAGTGGATTTGAATTTGAAATTGAAAAGAAAAAGTACCTAATGGTTACTGCAGCTTCAATCAGCTGAGACTTCTTTGAAGACGCCATTACTGTGTATCCTGGTTCATATTTCTGCATGATTTTACACAGTAATATTTGCATTAATAATATGATTAAATAAACCTCTGGGTAACTTTTTTAAAAACGAAAATAAACGATCACAGCAATAGTCATTTAAGAACAAAGAACCAAGAAGACCGATGAAAGAAATCAAAGAAACCTGGAGACAAATTTCACAAGTCGTGTTGCCCTTCTCGTTACACCATCTCTGTATACAATCCCTATGTGCAAACTGGAAACAGAAAATCCCAAAAAGAAAAGGAACCGAATCATCAAAACAGAAGAAACCCGGTAATTAAAACATTAAAAACAAGCATTAAATCAAAAGAAAAATAAGTTGGATTTGGTTTACCTTAACAGAGCCAGAACAAGCACAGGGAGCTTCGAAGCTCTTCAAGCTTTCGAACTCTTCTTCATGGCAAATTCTACATTGTGAAATTGAATTCTTCGATGATAAATCATCGATAAACAAAACAACGTCTCCCATTTTCTTCTCAACCTTTTCTTCCCCCCCCCCCCCCCCGGGTGTGTTTTGAAAAGTTGCTTTCTTTATTGATCTTCAAATTCTGCTTTCGTTTTTAATGTAAACCTTTTCTCCATATAAACTGGAGTTTTAAAAATATGAGACAGGCCTTGAAGTTCCATAAATATCCTTCCCTTCTCTTAATTGAAATATTTACTTTAATATTTGCCTTGAAGTTCCATAAGTAATTTAGTATTTCAAATCAAAATAATTAAAATTAGGGAGATGAATGATTTCATGTCCAATTCAAAATTCCTGCTTTTAGATTTGAATTTGAGACGTCTGATCTAAACCAACGAATACAAACGTTCCTGAAATTAAAAAAAAAAAAAAGTAGGCCCTTCCTTTTTAAATTATTAAAAAAACGTGAGAAAATAATTAGACGTGCTAATGTGGGCCCGCTTTTCGACGCTCGATAATATAATTTCATTAATTTTTCTCGATCTTATCTATCGCTTCTTTCTTTTCCCCGAAGGGATTTTTGATTTGGAAAGATATTGAAGTTATATTTCAAACCAAATATAAACTATGTACTTGAATTTGAATCAATTAGTAAAATTTAAATGAAATTTATTATAATTATAATTAAATTAAGCTGAGTGGTTGGGGGAGGAGCGGCTATCAGCAGGCCCAGCTCCCAAAAGGATATATTATCCTTCGTTTGACATTTTCTGTTGAACTAAAACAAGAGATTGGAGAAGTCAGCTGATTTTTCCATGTATAATAAATAATTCCCAGAAATAATATCCAAAAATCTGAAAATATTTCTGGAATCTTATAAATATTAGGAAATAAATGATTAATTTGATCAGATTATTAAGAAATGTAGTTTTTCGAATGAAAAATTGTGATTTAGCTAGAAAAGCAGTGAGGATAATGCCATGGATAGAGAAATAAAATTAGGAAGATACACTGATAATCATCAAACTTTTAAAAAAATTTATTATGATCGTTAATATTAACTTTCGTTTTTATTTTGATCATTTATAATTAAATTTCGTTGGTGTCCAATGTCTTTGTAATCGATTAAAGGATAAACATTATTATTAGGCATGATATCAAACCAACTCCCCTAAAAAGCCCTCGACTACTTAACGAATAGACCAAATCATTACATTTGTTAAATGATGAACAACACAATATTTTAGGTTGGGTTGAGTCGGGTCGGGAGGGTCGCCATTGTCTTTACAATATCTGATCCGGATTAATCGATTAATAAATCGGAAATCAATAGTTATAAAAAAAATAAGTTACTTGAAAATTAATTTTCCATTATAATCAATTAGTGTAATCAATTTAATCTTTTAACTTATTTTTTCCATTCCTACGTTATCTAGAATATTATATTTTCAACTATTTAACAAATGTAACGATTTGTTTCAGTGATTAAGTTGTTGTTGGTTTCTACGGAGAGTTAGGTTTAATCTCATGTTTAATAATTAATAGTTTATTTTTTAATCAATCAGATAATGACATGTGTCATCAAATTATGATATAATATATATTACCAATAGAAAATAATCCTAGGTAACCAAATTGAACATGGAAGCTAACGTTAGTTAACAATATGAAACATTTTTAAAGTTTGGATATCAAAAATGATTTTTTAAGGGAAAAAAGGGGGATTAATGGGTTAGTAATAGTTGTGGAAGGTCGCTGAATTGCTAGCTTCAAAGTGAGGGAGCAATTGGACAAATATATATATAAGATTAAGTCAGTCTAGGGTAGTTCAGAGCTGTAGGTGAACTATTTTCAATGGAGATAAGGTGGAGATAGGGGTATATAAAGTTGGCTAATTGGTTGGATTTGTAATGAAAAACTAGCCCTGATTGAAACTAGGCTGGGCCATGGGTCCACATATAAATAGTATTGATGACCACTTGGGTGGCCTGCCCAACTCCCCTACTCTCTTCTAATGTTGACTTCAGAACCTTATCACCTGCAATTTGCAATTTACATTTTACATTGTTTCCTTCCTTTCATCTTCTAAAATTATATGGAAAGTGATAACATATCACATCAATCAATAAATAAAAATTAATTATCCAATATCAATACATTCTATCGGCTATCCCTTCATTGCACAGTTGCCAAATGCCAACAACAATATCGCAGATTTGCAAATGGCGTGCGGAAGTAGAACTCACTTTCCCGGTTATCTAGATAATTCGATCATCGGAGCCTTATAGCTTCAGCATGATGTTGATGGACCATCCAGATTACTTAACAAATACGCTGCATGGTTTTTAAGGTCAATTCATGGGGTCCTACTGTAAAAGATTTTTATCCTCAGCCCTTAATTATTTGATCTTATCGACATTTCAAGGCAAATAATTGCTGAAATAGAGTTTTGTTACAGTATAGCAGCAATGGAAGCAGTGAACTTGAAGAAGAAAGAGCCAAAGATTGTGGTGGGTGTTGAGGAGAGCAGGGAAAGCATGTATGCGCTTTCACGTACTTCTTTGACTTTATGTGCACTTTCTTCGTTCTTTTCTTTTTATGATATCGTTTTTAAGATTCGAATATGATAAAATGTTGTGCAGATAAATGAATCGTTGGTAGTGGAGATGCTAAGGACGAATCATGTAAAATGGTGGTAAGAATCAAAGCTGATACGTTGGTGATGGGATGCCATGATTTTGGTTTCTCCAAAAGGTGTATATGTAAAGAGATTTTCTTCTTTCTAGACTTGGGAATTACTTACGAATTTTGTTTCTTGTGGCAGTTCTAGGAAGTGTGAGTGATCACTGTGCCAAGCGTGTTAAATGTGCAGTGGTGATCGTGAAGCACCAGAAGAAGTTTCTTATCCCTTCTGCTTCCATGAATATCGTCACATGGTTTCTGCAACCTTGTGTACTTATCGTCTACTTGTCGATTCCAGGAGTAATAAATCTACTGAATTCCACATAATGGGCTGTACGACCAAAGTAGTTGAATATCAGTATATATTTGCACAATGTTCCCCTTTCATCAATTTTTATAACATCTTTTATATGAATTATTGAGAGGTTCCAATGATAAATGAGCATTATTCTCTTTAGAAATTCGAATTCAAGTAATTATATTTATAAGATACATGTGCATTATTAATAAATTAATAAAAAATTTAAATAAATATTATCTTATAATTAATTCAAACTATTTAAAATAATGATACGATGATACATATATAATAATGAACATTTTAACAAAATATAGGTATTAAATTATATATTTTAATTGTATATGCATTCAATTTGATATTTTATATATTGGATATATTTTTAAAAATATGTAACATATTAAATATTTTTTTATATAAATATTTTGTTATATATTTTATTAAAATATATACATCAAATTTAAATATTTTTAAAAAATAATTAAATTTTTAAATTTTAAAAGAGTACCAAACATCTTTACTTAATAAATTTAAGAGTTAATTGTATCATATGTTCCCAAACTATGACTTTTATTTTAAATTGATCCCTAAACTTTTGAATATTTTAATTTCATCATCAAACTATGTCTTTTGTTCTAAATTAGTCATTAAAATTTTGAACATTCTAATTTCATCCCTAAACTATTATCCTCTTTCTAAATTGATCCCCAAATTCATCCAAATATGTATTTAGTTTCAACCATAGTTTAACATAAATTTTGGTTTTTTTCAAATATATAATAATGTAACTTGGCCTAACGATTTTATTAACAAGGAATGTGATTAATATATACATATAATTTGGGATGAAATTGGAATGTTCAAAAAAATTTAGATACCAATTTAGAATGAAGGTCATAGTTTAGGGATGAAATTGAAATATTTAAAAATTTAAGGACTAATTTAGAATCATAGTCATAATTTAGGTATGTAATTAGAATATTTAAAAATTTAAAAATCAATCTAAGATAATTGAAGGACATGTGATGCAATTAACTCTAAATTTAATTAAAATTCATGTATAATACTCTCTAGTAGTAGTACTCCGGATTCCACAATCATTCTTTGTTTATGGTTTCAAAAGAAACGACGTCACTTCGCTTTCTTAAAATGCAGCGGTCCCAGAGGCATAACTGTTACACTTTCAATATTATCTCCCCTACCTCTCACTCTCTGATATTTAGAGTCAAAATTGATTGTAATTTTCTTGTACGATATGAAGCTAAGCAGTCTTTGATTCGATTCACGGCGATCTTTCACGATTTCAAGTTCGATCCTTTTCAACTCAATTCTCGGAATCCTCGAGTTGCCGGCCGAACCGTTAAACGATGTTTCTTGTGGATTGGTTCTACGGCGTTCTTGCTTCCCTTGGTCTCTGGCAGAAAGAGGCTAAGATCTTGTTTCTCGGCCTCGATAATGCCGGAAAAACCACCTTGCTGCACATGTTGAAAGACGAGGTTCGTTTTCCCATAAAGCCCTTTATATATAAAGTATAAACTTAATTGAAAGTATGATTTTGGATCTCTGAATTAATCTCGGTTGCTTTATCGTCTAACTTTTTAGATTTGTATGGTTTGTTAACTAATTGAAATTCGGGGTTATTTTTTATTATAAATTTTAATGAAAGAGGTTAAAGTTAATTGGAGAATGAGGAAATTTTGAAAAGCGAGGTAACCGGAGATGTTGATTATTACTGAACTGGTTGTTTGCAGAGATTGGTTCAACATCAGCCAACTCAGTTTCCCACATCTGAAGAGCTTAGTATTGGGAAAATTAAGTTCAAAGCTTTTGACTTGGGTGGTCATCAGATTGCTCGCCGAGTCTGGAAAGATTACTATGCTAAGGTAGCTTAAAAGCTGAAAGTAAAATGCTTTTCGTTAACCTTTTCTTCATTTTATGTTCCACTGGTTATAGACTGTTTACCATATGCATTGCATCGACAGTTTGTCATCTCTGCTTGCGTGTTATTAATTTTAGTAGTAATGCAACACTCACTGAATATGTTTTCTTACCATCTCAATTGGTAGGAATTCTGCGGTTTTTTGTCTTCAAAGTTTATAGAGGCTTAATTTTCCATTTTCAGATCATTTTTTTGCATCAGTAGATTTTGATATATTTTGTCCTTGTTTCAAAGCTTGTATGTGATTTTCTCTAACCTATTTTTATATACTAATTTCCAAATCATTTCATGGCCATAATTTTTCTATAGTGGTGGTCTCGATGATCATCTATCAAAATGTTTAAATGATATGTTTAACAATTAACTTATTTCTTTCATTGTCTCGGTTGAAACATGGGTCTCATACACTAAGGGAAACCTGAACACTATCCAGTCTGCTGTAAGTAGGTACCTTTTGTCTTTGCTAAAAGTATATCTTCTTCTTAGTATTTTATTGTGCAAAGAAGCCAGTTATATATTTGCAGCTGAGCTTGTCGCAACCTAGTAGCTTGGTGTTGGCTGTTCCTCACCAGAGTATGAGGCGGTTTTTCTCTTTATTCTCCTCTTAATCATTTATTTTTGCATCAAAACCAGCCCCATCTTGGGCAAGGTCTACCTGGGCGCTTAGCTGCATAATAAGGCGTTCTTGAATTGTCTGCTGGAAGTTTAAGGTTGTATGAGAGAAGAGTTTGTGCGTGGTTCTATCAGCAATGATCAATGCTTCTGGCAGTATAGGATATATCAAATTTGGACCGGACTAGGTTCACGTGGCAATTTTTTTAAGCTTGTACTGCATTGCAGGGGATGCAATTATGCCTTTCTCTCATTTTGATTGGGTTTCTTGTTATAAGCTATATATGGTTGCCTGGTCTTTAGTGTTCACTTTGAATTGTATATTTCTGGGTCCAGGTTGATGCTGTGGTGTACCTGGTAGATGCCTATGATAAAGAAAGGTTTGCAGAATCAAAGAAAGAACTGGATGCACTCCTTTCTGATGAGTCCCTTGCCAATGTCCCGTTTCTTATACTAGGAAACAAGATCGATATACCATATGCTGCCTCAGAGGACGAGTTACGATACCATCTTGGCCTCACAAACTTTACCACCGGCAAGGGGAAGGTAAACCTAGCAGACTCAAACGTCCGTCCACTAGAGGTATTCATGTGCAGCATTGTCCGTAAAATGGGTTATGGAGATGGCTTCAAGTGGATGTCTCAATATATCAAGTAGAAAAAATGGTTACAAAGATGCAATAGCAAGATGTTACAAGGCTGGTAAACCCCAATTCCATCTCATAACTCCCAACTTCAGGGGAAAAAGGGTTGTATTAATCAAACTGTTAGAAACTAGCCCCTAAGTGGGTTTTAATTTGAATGTATTTGGTTTTGAATCTGTGTGGAAGGAGATACTGATGGCACTACACTGTAAAATTTACTTGTGAAGGCAAATCTTATGGTATTATATAGTTTCATCATTCAAGCATCATACGGAGTCATATTTCAATTAGCCTGGACCACCTAAACACCCTACGTTCCATGTCAAAAATCTAGGTGCATCCATTCGATAGGTTCGATTTTTATATATCTAAAATTGAATAAACTGATTAAACCCTTATTTGGAACTAAATAAATCGAATTCAATTTTTTTGGGGTCAAAACTGAAATAACTCGCAAGTACCATACGTTTCAACTACGCTGCAACCTGCAGCTCACAAGCCAGAAGCTGTGACCAAGTCTACAATATAAGGTGTCAAACTTCTATTACACGTTCGTTAGTACCGCCATTCTTCACTGAGCATTTTGTCTACTTTTTATCTTCTTTGGTCTACCCTTTTTACGTGTCCTTCCAATAAATTTACTAGTTCATTCTTTGACTCTTCCTCCTCCTTCCACTATATATACCCAACCATTTCTTCTTCCCACTTTCAAGTCTCGACGTCCATAGCCATTAGCCGATATTCGGACTTATAAAGCACTTTCTTTACAGTCTGCAGTAACTTCAACTTCCTCATGGGTAACATCACCTCTGGCTGCTTTATTCCCGATTTCAGCAGGAAAAAAATAGCTCAAGTAATTGATGCTCGAGGAAACCTTTGGAGAGTTAAACTCCCGGTAAAGGCAGCGGAGATCATGCTTGAGGAACCCGGTCACGTCATCTCTTCTGTGAAAGACCTAAAACGAACTCGATCGGTGGTTGCTGTGCGAGCTGACGATGAACTTTTGGCGGGTGAAGTTTACGTCTTGGTTCCCATAGGAAGGGTTCACAACAAGGTTACAGATACGGATATGGCGATCATAGAAGCGGTCTGTCGTGGAAAGAAAAGCAGAAAAAGTGGTGCGAAGGTTTCGCCGGTTGCGACGGAGGTGGATGAGAACAGAGTTCGGGTTGCGCCGGTTGCCGTTCCTCGTAGCTACCGATCGAGGAGCTGCAGACCGTGGACTCCTGTATTGGAATCGATTACTGAAGTGCTTTGACAAGTGTTTCTATCGCACAATTCTTTCATTCTTCCTTGTAGTTAAAGAACTGAACCAAATTAATTTAATTTAATTTAATTATTTTCGTTTGATCAATCTTTATTCAATCAGAAGACTTGATTCAAGCAAGCTTATTTAGTCGATTTTTTATTTTTAAATTTCAAGGTCTTATTATAAAAAAAATATCACTAATATCTAATTAATGGACCGATGAATTTAAATCAAATTCTATAAAAGACTTATTACGAGATGATTTTTAATTCAATTTAATTTATTTAGAATGTTAAATTATAGTCTCCAATATTATATAAAGAGTATGATATCTTCTCTCATTAGACCAATTAATAGTTGATATAAAATATTTAAAAACTTATATTATTAATTTATTTAAAGAAAAAAAAGTGTATTAATCAAATTGAATAAATTAATCGAAGGCTTACTCACAAATTTTCAATCAAAAGCAAGGCTCGTCCTAATCCAGGGTGACAAAATACTCATCCGAAACTCAGGTACGTAACACAAAGCTATAAATTACTAACACTGAGTACGTATTAACTGAAGTTTCACAGTGATTTCTTGTAGATGAGAAACGATGAAGTTCCAGTTCATTCCTTAGTTTTCCCGACACGAAATCACCTGAAAGCGACGGTAATATGCATGGTGGACTCATGAGTAAAACAAATTACGTAAAAAAAGACCGTGCGCACTACACGAAAGCCACAGACAATTTCGTAGCCTTTAATCTTTGGTCGAATAACATTTTCTAGAGTGATTTGTTACATGACCAAGTTAAGCTGTTGTTTTCATCTCTCAAAACCCATTCCTAATCGGTTGCTCATACTTATCTTTGTATTTGCACCAAATAGTCAATCATTATCCAATGTGTTATATTTTATGTTTAATGTTTATCATCCGACAAAAGAATTCACCAACACCAATCCAATTCTTATCATCTTCACGTTAAGCCTTCTCTCTACCAAATTACTATTATTTTGTTATCCATAATTACATTGAATTAACCGTCAAAAATAGAATAAATCAAAAACTTTATCAGATTAAAGTTTTATTAATTCAATTTAATGGATTGGTTATTTACCCGGATCGAGGTTAAGTTTAACCCTCCATCACATAACGCACAATTTTAAAGCATTGAAATTGTAAACATGGTTACGGTTGAACCATTTCTATTGACTTCCTATTCACGCCAACAACGTACATTAGACCCACACAGAAAACCCCACGCGCATGCATCCATCGTCATTGGACCATATATTATATCACCATTTCTTATGATATATTTACCTAGTCCATCATGTGCTTCGGTTCAACAAATACCACCACCTCCTACGGCAAGACCCTCCCCCTGCATAAATTGCTTTCTGTTCCACCTCATTGCCTTTAATTTTCTTTCTCCTTTTCATGGGTAATTACTTCAGTGCTTTCATCTGCAGTTCATCTCATACTACCGGTGCCGGGAAAGTAATTCTCTTGGATGGTTCGGTCCAGGAGTTCAGCTCGCCGTTGAGGGCGGCGGAGCTGATGCTAGAGCATCCGCAACAGGTGGTGGCGGAGTTCCACACGGCGGTTAATGGCAAGAAGCCGATTCCATTGCCGGCCGACCAGAAACTGGACGAGAAAAAGGTTTACGTAATGCTGCCATTTAATCGAGGGAAACCGACCACGTTTTCATCGGATGGTGCTCGTCGCGTACTAGTGAGTGCTAACTCTGTGTTGAGATCGAAGCGGCTTGTATCGTCTTCTAGACTCTTTCCTTTGCTTGCCAGGATTTGCCCCGCAAATCATATGCGAGAGATGGAACAAAAATCACCGTTGCAGGAGAAGGGAAACGTCGGCGAAAGGGCGGAAGAAGTCGGTTGTTCGATGGAGTTAGTGCCGGAGAGTATGGAAGGTTTAGGAGAGTATTTGAAGCGGCAATATTCAGGCAAGGGATGGAAACCAAGCTTGGACACGATAAAAGAGAAGAAGATTGAGAGAAAGGTATCCCATTGGTTGTATTAATTGCGTCATCCATTTCCATTGTTTTCCTTTTTTAATGGCATTGTAATACAAAGACAAAGGGACTTTGCAGTAACCATGTAATGGAAACATCATCCGTGGTTGCTCAATTTCTATGCAAATATGAATGTTTTAATCCTACAGGTTTCAAGTTAGATGAATTTATTAGAGTTAATTGCATCATATGTCCTCAAACTATGACCTTCATTTTAAATTATTCCCTAATCTTTTAAATGTTCCAATTTCATCCCTAAGTTATGAATACGATTCTAAATTAGTCCTCAAACTTTTGAACATTTCAATTTCATCCCCAAACTATGACCTTCATTCTAAATTGATCCCCAAACTATTTTGATCATTCCATTTTCAATACAAGCTATATGTATATACTCATCACATCCCTTGTTAATAAAATCGTTGGGCCAAATTATTTTATTATATATTTGAAAAAAAAAACAAAATTTTTGTTTAACTATGGTTGAAACTAATTACGTATTTGGATAAAATTGGAATATTCAAAAGTTTGGGGATCAATTTAGAAAGATGATCATAGATTAGGGATGAAACTTTAAAGACTAATTTAGAAGGAGAGTCATAGTTTCATGATGAAACTGGAACATTCAAAAGTTAAGGGACCAATTTAAAATGAGGGTCATAGTTTGAGGACATATGATGCAATTAACTCAATTTATTAGGATAGTAAATATTTATGAAATGTCTTAACTGAAAATTGTTAATTAATACCGGCAGGTTAGTGGGATTTATTCTTTTACATTAACTTAGACAATTTTAATTTTATGTTTTTAAAATTTTAAAATTGATATAAATAGTAAAAAAATTAAAATGATCAAAGAATAGAATAAAAAATTAAATCTACAAATGCAAATTTAACGAAATTGAGGTGTAGTCTAAATTAAAATGAAAATGGTAAAAGCAAACTATCAAGAGAAGAAAGAAAGTAAATATGGATCCAAAGCAGTCCAGCTCCACAACATTTAGAATACAATCTCCAAACAAAGACGGGTCCTATACGAGATTGGGGCATTTAGCTAATCAATCCCGAGCAAAAGAAATGGCCCAAATAAGAAATGAACAAGAAGAAACTGAGATGCAAGCATCGTGTAGCATATTTGGTCTATGGGCAGATTTTTTATGTCCTTCAAGGGGGGCCTTTTATGGAGTATCTTTCGTTTCTGTAATTGGTTCTAGAACAAGTTAGTGAAGTTGAGAGATAAGGCTGTTGATTCGATTACGGAAGATTAGTTGCTACCTGGCAAGTATCAGGTTAAAAAAGTCTGGCAAGAGGTTCCAAGGCATCAGGAGAGAGTGCCTTGGGCTAAATTTATTTGGTACCCTTTCCATGGTCCTCGGTATGCCATTGTGATCTGATAAGTTGGCAACAAAGGATCGACTGTTGGGATGGGGTTTAGCGGTTGATGACAATTATTGTTTCTGCTCTAGTGGTTTGGAATCAACAAGTCACTTGTTTTCTGTGGTTGCGAGTTCACCAAAAAGATGTGGAAGGAGGTTTTAATTTCGTGTCCATTGCGAAGGACAGTGGGGACTTGGAATTAACAAGTTCCATGGGCTGTTTCTTCGATTTTGGAATCAACAAGTCACTTCTTTTTTATCTTCGATTTTGTTTTATAATAAATATTTAGGAATTATAATTGTTGTTAAAGAAAATAACAGATATAAATAATAATAATAATAATAATATAAATGATAAACATTATTAACACTAATAAAAAAAAGGATAAAAGGGTAGGTTAGCTTTTCGTGTTTGAACTTGCTTGCGGAATGAATGTTGTTTTGCGAAGTGTAACCTCTCTTCAAAGCGAAGCTATTCGCAACTCACTGGTAATTATGTAAAATCAACGATTAACATCACCAATTTATGACTGCATATTTTTTTCTTTTTTTTTACATTTTATTTTCTTAGTTGCTTTTTTAAAGTACAAAATATAATTACACGTACAAGTAATATATTTAAATAGATTCGTTATAATATATAATAAAATAATAAACATTTAAAACGATTTAAATAATAAAATTAGATAAAATTTAATTTTAATTATAATGAGTACATAATTTATATATATAAATGTTTATCTGTCAGTAGTCACATGGACTTTTACAGTTCCAAAAATTTCACTCTCCCACCTTCCTCTGAAAAAGAAAATATTTATACCAAATATTCCTACTGCATATCAATCAACTCGATCTTAATGTCTTAGGAGGGTGCCCACTAAAGGAATTCAGAATTAAATATAAAAAATATACAAGTAAAGTGGATTATTATTCAAATATACTGCCAAAATTAAGTGTTTTACTTTGAGAAGTTTGAAAAAAACGATATGGACGTGTCATGTAATGATCACGAGTTAGTTCCATTGCATCATAACCCCAAACTTTCACCTTTATAAATACTACACGCTCCTCCCTTATCCTTCATTCCAATCCGAACATAACTGCAAAAATGGGCGTTGCCACCCTCACTCCCATTACCCTCTTCCTTCTCTTTGTTGCTTTTGCGGATGCCATTGGTCCATTTGCTTGCGACCCCAAAGATTCAACGACGCCCGCCTTGCCGTTTTGCAAGGTCTCCATGCCGATATCGGAACGAGTGAATGACCTTGTAGGGAGGTTGACGTTGCAAGAGAAGGTTAGGCTGTTGATAAACGGTGCGGCGGCGGTTCCACGGCTGGGGATCAAAGGGTACGAGTGGTGGTCCGAGGCTCTTCATGGGGTGTCCGATGTGGGCCCGGGAACGAGGTTCGGTGGGGCATTCCCTGGGGCCACAAGCTTCCCTCAAGTAATCACCACCGCAGCTTCTTTCAATGCCACGTTATGGGAAGCCATCGGACGGGTGAGCTTTTTTCTTTTAAACCTTACTTGTTATCGTACCAGTAAAGATAAAACTATAATTTTGTGCCAAAGGACACCTATGAGAAGCTAACTTTTTAGGACATAGATACAGCCTTTAGTACTTCTTGTCTCTTAGATTTGTCTGCTTTGCTAAATGCCGGTTTGCAATTCCGTTCAATCCGTTGGTCGGTTTTCATACGGCTTAAAGGGTCCAATCTTATTGGGCTATCATTATATTTTATTAATGAATTAATTATAAATTCATGAAAAAAAATTAAATGCATTAAATATTATCCAAAAAGTTACAACCATTATCCATATATGTCAATCTTCGTTATAATTATATTATATAATTATCACACGCATAACTAATTAATAATTGAAAAACTTCTCTTTATTTGCTGTACACCAATTGTTAACCATGGCTTTATACTAAATGAGATTTAAAAGTCTAAAAGCTCCCCCATAGCTTGATGCTTTTCTTTAAATCCAAGACAAGACAAATATATGGTCATTTTATTTTTCACATAGTTCTATGATTGGTTCAGACAATAAAAACCAACTTGCAAGTAGAATCATTATCACTGGACACAATTCCACGCGACATGCAAATATAATTTTTCACCAAATCTAACAAATGTATGGGAACGAAATGGGCGGTGGCAGGTCGTGTCGGATGAGGCCAGGGCCATGTACAACGGGGGAACGGCTGGACTCACGTACTGGAGCCCAAATGTCAACATATTTCGGGACCCACGGTGGGGACGTGGACAGGAGACTCCCGGTGAAGATCCGGTTCTCGCCGGCACATATGCAGCGTTCTACGTGAGGGGATTACAGGGAGGTGACGGTGATAGGTTAAAGGTGGCGGCTTGTTGTAAGCATTTCACGGCATATGACCTCGATAACTGGCATGGTGTCGATAGGTTCCACTTTAATGCCAAGGTTAGTTCCATTTTTAATAATGTAGGACCAATAGCTTTTTTTAATATAAATAATTATTTAAATATAATTCAGTAATCTATTTTATATTTTCTTTGTCCTATTACACCTATCTATATTAATTTTTTTAATTTTAACTCATTATTATTTAAAATTTATTATTGATAAAAATATTAAATCAAGTAATTTTTAAATATATCTTTTATAAAATTAATTATTTAAATTATTTAAAATAATCATATTCAAAATTTAATAATGGCCACAGGGATAATTTTTTTATGATTTTGATGAGCGTTGTGCAATTATGGATAATAATATTACATTCTCATTTCTTTCGTGATAAGATAATATTAGAAAAAGCAGCTGTATAGCCTGTACTTTTCAATGTATAGGTGATTGCAACTTGGAATTTTATATCAGAAAAAGCTGGAATAATCAAACCACTCTGCTCCTTCAGAAATTTTCCATGACATATTTTAAGTATTTCTTTGAGTTATTATAGTTTAACTTGAATGGTTGTATTTAAATTAATTATATTTTATTAATTAATTAATTACAATGATTTAAATTAATTTATAATAAATCGAACGAACATGTTACATTTTTTTAATAAAGAATGCTAAATGTGGACCGCAAAGATTACAGATTCTCGAGTTTCGAAATTATATGGTTGTCGGATTTCATTCGGTATATTAAAACTCTATATCCAAAATGCTCTGCTTTTTCTTTTTTAAAAAGCAGGCCCATATCATTCTCACGTGGCTGTTTCACACGTTTGTGCAGGTAAGCAAACAGGACATCGAGGACACATTCGATGTACCCTTCAAAATGTGTGTACAAGATGGCAACGTAGCCAGCGTTATGTGCTCTTACAACGAAGTCAATGGCATTCCCACCTGCGCCGATCCCAATCTACTACGTAACACAGTTCGAGGTCAATGGAAACTGGATGGGTAACCACTTAAGATGATCATCTCACTTTGGTTCAATGATCTTGCATTTTTATTCTCCATGTAACCGCTGGTTATCTTTGGTGTGATCTGCAGGTATATTGTTTCGGATTGTGATTCGGTCGGGGTCTTTTACAATACCCAACATTACACGGCGACGCCAGAACAAGCGGCCGCCAGTGCCATCAAAGCAGGCTAGTGAACTTTTAGTTGATGTAATTGTAGCTTGTTGAATGTGTCATTAACGTGTAATCGTGAAAATTGCAGGTTTGGACTTGGATTGTGGGCCTTTCTTGGCTCAACACAGTGAAGATGCGGTAAAACAAGGGTTGTTGAAGGAGGTTGACATTAACAATGCATTAGTTAATACACTCAGAGTTCAAATGAGACTCGGCATGTTCGACGGGGAGCCATCTGCACAACCGTATGGGAACTTAGGGCCGAAAGATGTTTGCAGCCCATCGAACCAAGAGCTCGCACTTGAAGCCGCAAGACAGGGCATTGTTCTGCTTAAAAACCGGGGTCCTTCATTGCCTTTGTCCCATCTACATCACCAAACAGTCGCTGTAATCGGGCCTAACTCCGATGCCACGGTTAGCATGATCGGAAACTATGCTGGTAAGTCCCATGATGATGGTTTTTCATTTCTTTTATTGGTGATTGGATGTTAACAACGAAAGTTATTTCTTGTTTGTTGATTAGGTGTTGCTTGTGGATACACATCACCTTTGCAAGGAATAGGGAAGTACGCAAAAACAATTCACCAAATCGGATGTGCCGATGTTGCTTGCCGAGATGACATGTTATTTGGTGCCGCAATCGATGCTGCAGGTCGAGCAGACGCAACAATTCTAGTAATGGGGCTCGACCAATCCATCGAAGCAGAATTCAGAGACAGGAAAGGGTTGTATTTGCCAGGGCGTCAAGAAGAACTTGTTTCTAAAGTAGCCAAGGCTTCCCGGGGTCCAACTATACTGGTTTTAATGTCTGGCGGGCCTATCGATGTTTCTTTCGCTAAGAACGACCCTCGTATTGCCACCATTTTGTGGGCTGGATACCCGGGACAAGCAGGAGGAGCCGCAATAGCCGATGTATTGTATGGGACAACCAACCCTGGGGGCAAGTTGCCTATGACATGGTACCCACAAGAGTATGTTTCGAATTTGGCAATGACAAACATGGCCATGCGTTCGAGCCTGAGGAGAAATTATCCAGGAAGAACCTACAGGTTCTACAAAGGACCCGTAGTGTACCCTTTCGGCCACGGATTGAGTTACACCAACTTCGTTCATAACATTGTTGGTGCACCCAATGTCGTTACCGTCCCTCTATATGGCCACCGTCGTTCAGGAAACACAACTGTTTTAGGCAAGGCAATCAAAGTTAATCATGCAAGATGCAACAAGCTGTCAGTAGGCCTTCAAGTAAACGTGAAGAATACGGGATCGAAAGATGGTACTCATACGATGCTAGTGTTTTCGACTCCACCTGCTGGTCATTGGGCTCCACATAAACAGCTGATAGCCTTTGCAAAAGTGCATGTTCCGGCAGGGATGGAACAACAAGTTGGAATCAGCATCCATGTGTGCAAGTTCCTGAGCGTCGTGGACGTGTCAGGGGTCCGAAGAATTCCAATAGGAGTACATCATCTCCACATTGATAACATTAAGCATCCCGTATCCCTTCAAGCAGAAACATTAGGGGTGATCAAATCATAGAGGGGGAAACGAGTATGCCATTGCTATACAAATAGCAAAATTCATTTTCTTTGTCAATTTGCAAGTGTTTACTCAAGTTGTATAAGGAAGAAGTACACCAAAACTGGTTGCTTCTACCATTAAAGTAATTAATTAAATCAAATTTAAAAATATTTTAGTAATACATATTCAAATTATTTTGAATTTGAATTAGTTTTCGATTTAGATTATGGTATCATTTTTTTATATATTCGTGCTATCAACCGACCAAGTTACATTTTAGGCTACAAAACAAATAGCCTTTCGGACACTCATTGTGATGCTTTGAATTCAATTCAACAGCACTTTCATTGTTAGTGAGTTGGACAGTATTGGTTCATGTCAATTCACATGAGCTGGTAACTTGGTGAATGATCAGATAAAAGAACCAAGTGGTTCATGTCAAAGTCTATACTACATGTTTTTTCTGTAATTGGAAAGATTTGACCAAAAAGGGTAATGTAATCCTCTTTTGGCCCTAGAGGAGGCCCTGCAAACAATCGTGCTCCATGTGCATTGTGCTCACAATGACTAGTTCTGCCACATTATATTGGTGACATTATATTCAAGGGTTTATAACAAAAGTGGTCCTTAAAACCCATCCATCCTATTTGTCCAATCTTCAACTTTGTCCAATCCAATTATTTGTTTTACCATTCAACAATTCGTAATATATAAAAAGTTTATGTATGATACTGTTTTACCATTCAATTTGAAATCTAGTTTTTCATTGCACCGGTTGTCCTTTTACCTATCTCTGTTGGTCAGCGGAAATATCAGTTTTAACGTTAATCATCAACTATTAGTATTTTCTATTTTTACTCACTATTTATATCAGATCTTTATTTTTTCTTATTCTTTTATTTTTTAATAATTTTATTTCAATTGTACGTTTTTCTCTGTCTGTATGGTATGTTTTTGTTTGTCTTTTGACACGTTTTTAGTTTTTTTATCAGTCATTTGACCATTCTCATGGTTAAATTTGATGTCACTCCAACTGGTCCAGATAACGTTTATTTGTTATTCTATTGATCTTCTTCGCTTTGCACCCTCTGATTAGATTTAGATATTTGATATACGTTCAGAGATAGTTTTTTTTTCCTGATACTTAACTCCGATTTGTGATTTTCGATGGTCTTTTAAATTTAGTAGCTTGATCATATGTTGTTGTTCGTTTACCGATACATTTAAAACTACTCGTATTTATATTTTGTTCGAGTTTTTCGATGAAGTTTTAACATTTTCCTTGTATAGTCATTCTATGATATTAAGTTGTTATTTTATGTATAAATGGTTATAGGAAACGTCCTAATCATGTGTTTAGTTTGCGGTTATAATTGTAAATTTTTATTATAATTTTAGATTTTTTAATAAAATTAACTATATAAAAAATAAAATTTTATTTATAGTAAATAAAATAATTGTATAACAACTGAAATTTCAAAAGATTATTAGCCTCAAGTCAACAGCCATATACAATGCATTCAAATCTAAATAATTTGAGATTACATCAGCGATAATATTCAATAATAATAACTAAAAAGCTCAAGATTACTTTTGTCTTTTGTAGTAGATCTTATTTATCTCTTTTGTCCCCATGGTATTTTCACATCAATTTAACCTTCGAAATTATTTAGCAGAATCATCCTAGCCTTCAAAGTTTAACTAACATAACCGTTAGTTTTCTGTGTATGTGGATGCCAATAATTTTCATGTCAACCAATATTACTGATGTGACTTGATGATAAAGTGATATTTATTAAAGAATGAATAATAAAATATTTAAAATATTTATTAAATACAATAGTTAGAAAAAATCCCCATAATTGTAACTTAATTCCTTAGTCTCACTGAAATAAATAATAAAATTTCGGGGGGGGGAGAATTTTCTAACAATTGTGTTTAGTAAAAATTTTAACTTAATCCCTTAATCCAAATACGCAGAAGACTCACTATTATGTTAGTCAAAACGGTCAACTGACTTCGAGGCATAAGATGATACCTTTAAACAACTTCGTTATTTAGATTGATGTGGAAATAATTTACGTGTACAACAGTGATAAAGTAACAATTAAACCTAACTAAAGTATTATAAAAATGTTTTATAAAATAATAATTTATTTGAGATAAAAGTAATCTATTAATGAATTTATTAAAAATATGAAAATATAAATAATTCAATTATTTAATTACAATATCATAATTTTAAGTTGTAATTTTATTTCACTAAATCAATGAATTGTAGAAAGAGGTTTTATAAAATCTGAAACCAAAACGACAGACCATATGAGCAAACATGTATCAAATTATAGCAACAACTAAACCTAAAACTTTACCTCCCACTTTTCACCTTCGAATCTGTTGTTTTCTTTCTTTTTACCCTATCCTAACGCGAACAAATCTGCTAAAATCACGGCCCCAAATCACACCCAAAATTCTGCAATCAATGAACAGCCTTGAGAGGGTGATTTATACAATCAATGAACAAATCTGCACTTAATCCGACTTTTCTCAAAATTTGGTCATCTACTACTATTACTCTGTTTAATTCCACGCCAACAAACAACATTGACTTGTCCCGAAGTTGGTGGCATGGCAAATCGACGAATACTTTGTAAAAAAAAAGGTTTTAGAAAAGAATCATATATGATTTTGAACGTGGATTATGATCTAATTATTATAATAAAGGGTTATAATTATGATTAATTATGTAATACAATAAGGCCAGCCGGTTGCTTAACCTACTAATTTTCTATATTTAATTAATTAGTTGCAGGTGTTGAAACGGGTTAGCATTTCGAAATTCGAACTCTGTATTTTTTGCCCTTTGTTTTCTGACAGTGGAGCGTTGGAGCTGGCGGAGGAAATGGATGGATCAACAGTTTAGATTCATGAATTATTTTCTGGGATTCTTTAAGATAATGGATAAGAAGCTATAGATTATGCATTTAAAAAAACTGTGCTTTTGCCCACTTAAATTATTGTTAATGTGAGACATGCCAAGGAATTATTCCTCATGACAAGTACAGATTCGTTAAACTAAAATTATCAAGTTATTTATTGTACACCAACTATCTATTGGTCTGTAAGATGTTAAATTTATTATGTTATAAATATCTTTTTCGTTAGTCAAAATATCAGATTAATTTTTTTAAAATTTAAGAATCATATTAAGCATAAAATAAATTAAGCTGGCTTATTTTGGCCATTTTAATCCGATAACGAGCTTGGCACTATAGCAAAGCTGCTGGAATTTGCACATGGAATTATCATCCCACGTGATGTTCTATCTACAAGACACGTGCGCCCCACAGTTGCCGGCCAAAAAGTCTGATTTCTGGCAGAACTTCGAGTACCCAAAACGCCACTTCCAACAAAGAGCCCCCTTGCTTCTGATGAACATAAAAAGATCCCTACGATTACTTTCAATATTAAGATTATAATATTTAGTTCGTAATCTAAAATTATAAGCATCATATAATATAATGACCATCCACCTCAGTTAATAGAGCACAAGGTTCTTAATCTTGAGATCGTGGGATCGAGTCCCATGGAGGACATTTCATAATTTGGAGGTCTCATACGGAAGCTGCTCTCAACCTAATGTTGGGGGCAGCTTACTATCTTACCTCTCCCTTTCCCCATTACATATGAAAATAAGGGACAACCATATAATATAAGGTGTAATATATGGCATCACCATTCTGTCAGCGTATCCTAATTTATATACCAATTTCATATTTGTATATATTAAAAAAATCAAAATATTATATATTTAAATAAATTTTAATTCAAAAATAATTTATCCAAGCAAAAGCCAAATGATATGTTGTTATTCTTTGATGTTTCAGGTTCGAGTACCATGAATATCAAAAGTACGAGCGTTCAATGTCAATTATTGAGAGTTTTTTATTGAACAGTTATTACCTTATACATATACCAGATTAATAAAAAGAACTTATGCAATGATAAAGTTTGTTACTTCAATTTAGACACACAAATAGTCTGGTAAAGGCATTAATTAGAGAATATGTTGCAATTCTAAAACAAACAAACTGCCCAACTATAACGTGGAATATAGATTTGTAGGTGAAGATAAGTAATTGTGAATACATGAATTAAAAAGGAAGTAATTACATGTTTATTATGTAGACCCAAATAAGAGAGTAGGAGGGATCCACCATGAATATTAGCACCATTTATTATGCAGTTTTATGATCAAGACTGTTGTAGTTTACATGAATTTGTCTAAGCAAACAAATAGGAAGGCAAAAGCATTTAAAAGGGCTGAGACATAGCATGTGTATTTCCATAGAGTATAAATGGCTACATGATAAGTTGGTCTCCCTATGTTTTCTAACTAAAAAATAAAAAATGGAGATGAATAAGACGATGATATAATTTTTCAAAAAATTTAAATTATTTAATTTCATTTCAAAAAATTGTTATCATCTTGTTTATTAAAGATTTTGTATAAAAAATCTTATTGGATAAAGATACATAGAACTATACAATATATTAAATAATAACCATTTACGAATAAACACATTTGGCCGGTTGACTAAACTATTTATCTTTGTTCCCTCATATTCCTTTAGTTAGTGAGTTATAGGTCGTATAAGAGTACTACCATTCCTTCCCCTCCTCTTTAGGTAGATTAGAATTAGATTTAGAATTTATTAAAAGATACGAATCATTTATAAATACTATTTATAAATGAATAATGGATGTCAATTTATGTTTAAAGGTACCCATAATTTTTTAAAATAGAATTATTTTATTTTATTTTTAATTACTTTTTATTAAATCTATAAAAAAAACTTATTTTTCAAAAAAAATGACACCCCTTCTAAAACACCGACTCCATGAGTGATATAAAATCAGATCGAGTCAAAATTTATCATATTCGAATATTTTAGTTTTCTCTAATATTCGGTAAAAGCTAATCCATAGTGTGTAGTGTTTGAAACGCATACGTAGGGTAGAGATTCATCGATGTACTGGAAAGTTTTGAAGGAGACATCCAATCCAAGAAGAAGATGAAACTGTATAAGATGGGTGATCAGGCAAAGAAGAAAAAAACAGCGGAAAGTGGACCCTCTAAATTGGTCCATTGTGGTTTGGCTATAGGCTCGACTTGTACAAGCTGGAATTCCCTTTAGCTGTATAAGAGGTGCAGCTATGATCTTGAAAGGGACCAACACCGCCCTTTGTAGACCCTCACTTGTCCCATGGTGGGTCCATTTCATATGGTCCCCAAGCTTATCGGACCAACGTCAATGGAAGATGATAAAAAAGAAGAAGAAAACATATGTTGATGTTCATCCAATAATTCGTAAAGGAACACTGCCAAATTGTTTTTAAAAATTTTAAACTATTCAATATTTATTTAAACCTGTGTGTATATATGTATTGACGTTACAAGTTACATATTATGTTATGTATGGAGTTGTTTATACTAAAATGAAAATAATGACGGTAATTAGAGTTTGTCAATTTGTTATACTGGTATAATATCATTTTAGGTACTTATTAGTTTAAAATCGAGTTAAAATAATCTTGGATAAATTGTAATTTTCATCTTTTAACTTTTTTATCATTTCTATTTTGATCATTAAAATTTAAAAAAGCGTAATTTATTTATTAAATATCTAATTTACATCTATTTTGATCCTTCAATGTTAATGCACAACATATATTAATAATTAGATCAGTTAATGATAATGTACAATATAAAGGCATACAAATTGATAATCAAAAGATTTTAAGTTATTCGAGTTGACGAGTCATATTTTACAACTCGAACTTGAGTTAAAAAAATTTCGAATTGAGTCTAGTTTTCAAGTTTTTGTTTAAATTTAATTGTAAATATTTATAATAATATGATATTATTTTTTATTCTAATTTGAATAAGTTTTTATAAACATACACGATACACATATATTTTTTCATATATTTTTATATATAATATACATATATCATACAGTATCGAGGGGATCGACTCATACTCAATTTGAACGTAAAATTTTTCGAATCGAGTCGAATTTTAATAATCCGTTGTGGAAATAATGATGGGAGTTCACAATTCAAACATTTTTTAGATTAATTATTGGAAGCATTAAAATCGTTGAAGCTATAATACAGTCATAGTGGGGGTATCGACTCTTGCTGATCCGGCAGCCAAGTAATATGGGATCCACTCTAATGTAGATCGAACGAACGTGGTGAATCCATCGATGGATGGACGGTCAGGGATGCTCCAGTTTGCAGGAACTGCTTGGTTTATAAAGCAAGTGAATGTGGAGTGGAGCCAGAGGAATGATAAGTTCAAGATGCTCTTATATAATGTTAGTTTTTTAGTTTTGAAGTTCAAATATTGAATTATTATTAGTTGAAAATATTATTTTTATTATCTTTGGTGGAAATTTGATTAATCTTAGTATAAACTACATGTTTAGTATTTAAATTATTATTTTTTGTTCTGTTTTAGTATTCAAACTAAATGTTTAATTTAGGTTTTAATTTGATATCTCGCCATTAAAAAATTAATAAAACTGTTGACATTGCATTTTTTTAATTTTTTTAATAATGATGTGATATTATTTTATGGTGTCAACTTCACCGTTAAATTTTTGATAGTGGCATAACAAAATAAAACATAAAATAAATATTAGGTATAATTTAAAAAAAATAAAGTTTAGATACCAAAACGAAAAAAAATTATAGTTTAGATGCTAAACATGTAATTTACCCTCGATCTTAATGATTTTCTTAAATATGATTTGTGATTAAATGCACTAAATTTCTTATATAACTTAATTTGTAGTTTAGCCGAGCTTTTAATACATGTTTAGAAAAAGGAAAAAGGGAAAGTTAAGAGTTAGGGTTAAGAAAAATAAAGCCATGCATCCGGCCATGTGGCACATATATCCATCTTCATGTGCCAATGTTATTGGTATTATCACATCTCCCTTATTTGTGTCATTATCGTTATATAAGTACAATTATTTTATATACTTTGAACTCATAAAAGCATGAGACGAACATGATGATTGATAGTTTGATAAACATCTCAAGTGATGTTTCCATATTATCATATAATGCAGTAGAAAATTTACCAAACATATAAGGCTCCCATTTATACTAAAAAATGTATAGAGATAAAATAATAGTAAATTTAAACATAAGGATTAAATTATATATTTGAGTATAGAAGAAAGACGAAACACAAAATATTGACTATTTTTATAAGTACGCTATAGAGTATTTATTTAGGAAGGTCTGGGTCGTAGTGTCATAGGCCACATAGCATAGTGGAAGAGAGAGAACCTAAAATAGTGTGATGCCAGGTTCAACATCCCATTTTCCCATCCCTTATTTATCAGAGGGAGTGAAAAGGAAAATGTGCATTCTTTGAGTGCAAGGAAGGAAAACGGGGTTAATGGTTGATTGAGTTTTGATTCTTCCTCAACAAAGATTATATAGCTACGAAGAAGAAAATACAACCCCATGGCTTGTTTGAGTGGACATGATCAAAAGAAACACTGGTGGCTTACCAATCGAAAGGTAAAAAAATGCAGAACCTTTGATCTTTGATTGTCTCTGTTCAAGTTTCCATTTTCTTTTTTTCTCATGTTTCTGCATTGATCTGTGCAGGTTGTTGATAAGTACATTAAGTGTGCGAGGAGCCTCATTGCGACGCAAGACCAGAACGAGATCGTTTCGGCTCTGAATCTCCTCGATGCAGCGTTGGCTCTGTCGCCTCGTCTGGAGATTGCCCTTGAACTCAAAGCGAGATCTTTATTGTACCTGAGGCGTTTCAGGGAAGTCGCTGACATGCTCCAACACTATATTCCGAGTCTCAAAATGTCCAGCGACGACTCTGGCTCGGTTTCCTCGGATAACTTGTCTCAACGCTTGTCGAGGGAGCGAGTCAAGCTTCTCCCTTCCGATAACTCCTCGTCCGACTCACCTGGCCGTGACCCGTCTTTCAAGCGTTTCTCTATTTCGGAATTGAAGAAGAAAGTCATGGCTGGATTGTGGAAAAACTGCGAGAAAGAAGGCCAATGGAGGTAATTTTTTCACTCTTAATTCCCCTGATTTTTTTCAAGCATTTATGGGTAACAAGTTTCCAAATTGATTGAGGTCAAACTCACTGGAAACTCAATTTTGAAACAGGTACTTGGTTCTAGGCCAAGCATGTTGTCACCTAGGCCTAATGGAGGACGCCATGGTTCTCCTTCAAACCGGCAAGCGCCTCACTTCCGCCGCATTCCGCCGCAAGAGCTTTTCCTTGTCCGAAGACAGCTTCTCCCTTCCCAGCACTATCCCCGCATCCGACATCTCCTCCGCCACCACGACGCCTCCTTCCACGCCGCCACGCAATTCCACTCCATTCTCTGAATCTGAAAACATATGTCAGCTTCTATCACATATCAAACTCCTCATCCGCCGTCGGACTGCTGCCATTGCTGCATTGGATGCAGGCTTACACTCCGAAGCCATCCGCCATTTCTCCAAAATTGTTGACGGGCGACGCCCAGCCCCTCAAGGCTTCCTTGCAGAGTGTTATATGCAACGAGCCTCGGCTTACAGGGCTGCTGGACGCATTGCCGAGTCGATCTCAGATTGCAACAAAACTCTTGCACTTGATCCATTTTGCATCCAAGCTCTCGACACCAGGGCGTCACTTTTCGAAACAATACGATGTTTGCCGGACAGTTTACATGACCTCGAACACTTGAAACTGCTTTACAATACCATTTCGATAGACAGGAAGCTTCCAGGACCTGTCTGGAAGCGTCATTATGTGTGTTACCGGGAGATTCCCGGGAAGCTTTGTGCATTAACGACTAAAATTCAACAATTGAAGCAAAGGGTTGCTTCTGGTGAGACTGGAAATGTTGATTACTATGCATTGATTGGCTTAAGGCGAGGGTGTTCAAGGTCTGAATTAGACAGAGCTCATTTGTTACTATCTCTGAGGCACAAACCGGATAAAGCTACCAATTTTATTGAACGATGTGAATTCGCCGATGAGCGTGATCTCGACTCGGTTAAAGACCGAGCCAAGATGTCGGCATTGCTTCTTTACCGATTACTTCAAAAGGGTTATTCCAGCATGATGGCTACCATTATCGAAGAAGAAGCGGCCGAGAAGCAAAGGAAGAAAGCCGCGGCCGCATTACAAGCAGCACAGGCAGCAATTCAAGTTCAGCAGACCTATTATTCCAGCAGTAAACAGGAACCCGAAACCAGCCCTACTTCGACAACAAATTCATCGAACGTTTCTAGCTGCAAAACCAGGGTTAAATCCAGTGAAAACGAAGCCAAAACAACTAGTTCCGATGCGAATGTGTTCCAAGGTGTATTTTGCAGGGATCTCACCGTTGTTGGGATTTTGCGATCACAAGTTGGGTTTAATCGACCACTCCCAGTGAAATACGAGGCACTAAGCTGCTGACTTTGTCATTGGAAATCGATTAAAAAAACACAAGTTTTCTCCAGATATTTTTACCGGCCGTGGAATCTCTGCTTCACTGTCTCCCATTTGTACAAATATGATTAAATTGTCTGCCGGCAAATTTTGTCGCCCTATTTCTTTAATGTCAACCACTACCCTGTACATTACTTCCATTATTGAAAATTTTCTACTTTCGGGTACATTCCCCCCCCCCCCAGATTTTGCTTATTGCTTTGCGTATTTGCATTTCATTTGCCTGAAACTTTAATTTTCCGTATAGTTTTCAATTTCAATTGAATTTTTTTTTTCTTGTTTGATTGGGACCAAATGTACTGTCATGGCCAGGAAACAAAAAGATAGACAGAAGCTACTGTGGTTTGGATTCTTATAATTTGTCTTGTGTGTTACCATTTAAATTTTCTCTGCTTTGTTATCCATGAACTGGCTTTATCTGACATTCTGCTAGATTGCATTTTGCTATTTCCACCACCCAACGTTTTTCAAAATGTATTTTTCATAATAATATTTATTTGAAACCCATTTAATTATAATATTCATTAGGAATGCTGAATATTGGGAGAAGGGATGTGATTGGCATTGGAGGACACCCAAACACTTTGATCGAGTTATGTGGGCACATCGTGGCATTGAGTGCCAGCGTAATTATTATTGAATTAATAAATAAGAGGGCAGTGTGAAGTCGCTTAACAGAGAGGGAAAGCGTGTGCACTTTTCAGGTCCCTCTGTGCCTGCCTAATACAACCAAAAGGGGTCTAAATCCAACACTCAATACAATAAAACCAATTGATTTAGAAAGGCTGATGTCATTCCAATGCTTACAGCTTTGCATCATTTGGGCATAGATTTTCATGCAAGAACCACCACATAATTGCATTTCATGAGTTGGTCGCATGCTAGTTTTGTTGTACAACCTAATCATTTTCGGCTAAAAAATGATAAAATTAAATGCAATCGAATAAATTACTAAAATTGAATGAAATGCAAAACAATTAAATCACTTAACCAAAATTGAATATTTAAACGACATGATTAAACCAAATCTTCCAAGACTGACGTTTAATTTTATTTTATATAGACTTTATAGGATTGATTATTAAACCAATATTTTATTTTTAAAAACATGGAATATCTTATACAACTTTTAAAGACGTGTAATCGAAAAAATCTCAATTATACGGATGGAAAAAAGAAAGAAATTTATTCATAATATTTGACGCCTGAATTTTTTATAGGTATTAAATTTATTATGATTGGATTGATCAGACATTGGTGTATCATTTGTGTACGTATATACTTATTTTTGGTACTTCATAGAAAAGTGGAATACCAAATGTTCTAAATGTATAATGATGTCGTGGACATAACATATTATATACAAATATTTCTGGTGCTTATTCACAATATTTAAACTCTATATAATTAAAAATATCAACACAACAGAAAGCCATATTAGCAAAAGAAAACAAACATATAGCATCTTAAGGTTTTAACCACCAGAGAAGAACATTTAAACTGCCTAATAGATTAGCATATAATTATATACAAATAAATCATACTAATAGCAACATGAAATGTAGATGAATGAAAAAAGGGAAAAAGAAAGAGGGAAAGCATTAAGAATTGACATAAGAAGAAGAGGAAGAAAGAACTCATCGACATAACATACAATGCAGAAAATATTGACAAGAGAAATAAGATCCTTATAGAGTCCTAACATTGAGAAGTTTATTTTAGCAGCCCTATGATAAAGAAAACAGAGAAAACTCCACCTTCAAATTTATAGCATACTAGATGAGTGACTTTGCTTGCAACCAGAGGTTTAGAAAATTGAGCACCCATCAAGCTAACCATTGTCTGCAAACACATACGTAAAACCACATAACATTTTTATTTGTTTTACAAACAAATAAAGCAACCCATAATAGAGAAAGATAGCATACCATGATGTCATCTCGATCTTTCCTCTGGTATCCAGTCAAGCATAAAATTAAACTTTTAGCACCAGGAATTCCATTTAAGTCCCTAAGAGGTATGTACATAATCTGTCCAAAGGAAAAAGAAAATTTATCAAACTCACAAATTTACATAGGTGATAAGAATAAAGTCTAGTTTTATTATAGAAAAAAAATAAAAATCATAAGAAATCTGGACCCAAAAACAAGTGAAGTTAAAAAAAATGTATGCATGAGAAATTATCTATGGAGTAATCAAACAGGTGGCTTTTATTTCATCATGTCAGTGCTAATGTGCTACACCAACTGAATTCATTGAACAAAAATTCCAAATAATAAACAGAATATAAAAATCAATGTAATTCGATAATGGCGAGCATTGGCAACTAACCGAAGTAGCATCGACAGGTATCCCAGCATCAAAACTATGATCAACCCATAATCCAGTGACAACTGTTTTGCCATCAGTTCGAGCAGCAACACATAGGGGATCATCCTAAATAACATGTAAAAGCAAGATTTTCAGCATCCAAATTTTTGAAAATTTTAAAACAAGCAACAATGCTTTCAAAGACATACGTAGACAATCTTATCAACAATCAAATGAGTGCAATTCTGGCTATACTTACCGACACCAACGCCGCCACCGTCAATGAGCTTTACTCGAACCTTCACGAAAATTTAACAACTAAGCAAATATAATGGATTTTCCATCACATTTTTCTATTTCTTTCTCAAATAATTACTTCAACGAAACAAAGATTAAATAGCATAGAGCAAGGGGGGGCCGATAACGAAAAACCTAATGGTCGTTGACGGGATCGAAGCCGTAGAAACAGAAAAGAACGCCGAGAAACGTTTTTGAAGAAGCGTCGGATTCCAGCATTGAATCGAAAACTAGCCTTTACAGAGAATAACAAAATAGGGTAACTGGAACAAGGTGGACAATTTTGATTCTTTGAAAACAGAGACGAATCGACGTAAATACAATTCTAGGAGAAACTAATTTAATCCATTGAGTTTGAGAATTAAATGTGAAAGTGAGGAACAAAGGGGGAGTTTTTCGATTTTTCCTTACAAAACTTGTCGAGGAAAGAGTGAGAATTATTATCTTTGAGGGGCCGATGCGCCTGCGGGAGGGAAAATGAATTTTCATTTTCTTTTATGTACGGGCGGGCAATGAAAATTTTGTGATTGAACATGGTGCCTCCACGTGGCAGAGTTAAGGGATAATGCTTCTACACGTGTAGTTCTTAGGCCTTATGCTGGGCTGATACCACTGGTTTAGAGGAAATCTTTTAAAGAAAAATTAATGAATTTTAAATTATGTTTTTAAATTTAAATATTTATCGTAGGTTAAATGATAATAAAAATATTATTAAAATAAAATTATTTACAGAAAATGATATTTTGATAAATTTTTAACTAAAAATTATGCGTAAAAGGCAGAGTGTAAATGCTATTCAAGCCATTATGGCGCCAAGCCCAACAGTTAGCATTAGGGGTATGGATCGCAGTCAAAGATTGATTCAGCACTAAAATCTTTGATTAAGAACTTGATTAGATTGGAGTTTCGAATTGATACCACGATCCTGTTAGATAATACTCTTTCTTAATAGTTTATCTTCATTTTAACCTTAAATAATTTTTTTTATTTCTGTTTTTAAACATTTACCTATCTATGAGATATAATGAAAAAAAAAATTAAAATAGGATAAATTACGCAAATGATCACTAATATTTGAGTAAATTTTTATTTTTATTATTGATGTTTCAAAAGTCACAAATTGATCGTTAACGTTATCTTGAGTTACAAACTGATCACAAATTAGTCATTAACGTTATCATTTGTTACAAATTAGTCACAAATCGATCACTAATGTTATTATTTGTTTAAAACTAACATAACGGTTAACTACTGATTTCACACGGATTGACCATTATTTTGAAATATCCTTCTCTTATATCTCTTATCTCTATTCTTCTTTTCAACTCAAAACCACAATTTTTATTTTTCTTTCTTTTTCGATCTTCATCTTCACGATATGTTGCCATAGAAAAAGAAGAAAAAAACCATCCCACGGCTCCCTTTGTCTCGTTCAGATTTTACTCCTCGTAGTAATTAATACCTCTGTTCATCAGAGTTTTAGTGAGAGGAAGAAGAAAATGGTCATGACATAGCTTGGTAATATTGTTGTGCAGAAGCCATTTAAGTCTTTGCAGCGTTGCCTTCCAAGTTTGGTTTCATGCAGTAGTTTTAGTGAGAGGAAGAAGAAGATGGCCAAGCCAAAGATGTTAACGATAAGCCTTAATTTTCTCATGTTTTCTGACTGTTAACGATAATGCGTCCATCATATGGCTTCAAGTCTGCAGTCTGTAAATCAAAAACTGCTTCACTGCCGCCGAACCTACTAAGGTTTGATATTTTAGCATTCTTCAATGGCAGAGAAAGAGCTATCGTCGGAGCCCAACCCACCAACTGAAGACATGGATATCGAAACCCTTGATTCATCCGCCCAAAACCCCAATGCCAAGGACGACGCCAACGGTGACTCCAAATCGAAGCGCGAGAGAGAAGAAGACGGCGAAGAAACCGAGGATGCATCCAAAAAGTAGAAGCTAGAGAAGTCTGTAAAGGAGGAAAGGCTTGAGAAGAAGTCGGACTTACCCGAGTCGGGTCCTGTCCAGCTCGGTCCGAAAGATTTCGGGTCGTTTGCGGAGATGTTCGATTACTTTTTCTATTTGCTTCATCATTGGGGTACTAAACTGAACTTCAACAAGTATGAACATTGGCATTTTTGGACTTGCTTATAAAAGGCCATCTAGAGCCTGAGAGGAAGATTGGTGGAGGGATCAAAGCTTTCCAAATCCTAAATCATCCAGTGCGGAATAGTAAATGTTTCTTTGTGATCAGGGAGGATGAAACTGTTGATGATTTTAGCTTCCGAAAATGTATTGATCGTATACTCCCCTTACCTGATGATATGAAGATAAAACGCAACAAAAACAGGGCATCACACGGTGGTGGTTGGAAAGTACGTGGTGGAAAAAGAGATGGACGAGGCCGTGGGAAAGATGGTAAGCCTAGATATTACGGCAATAGTTGTTAAAATTAAAGTTGGATTAAATTCTTTTGTTGGATTAAAACTGCTTTGTTTTGCTTTTATATCTGACCTTATGTTGTTGATGTTTTCTGAAAGTTATTGATATTGATAACAGTTTGTACTGCCTTTCTGTTCATGTTCCTTTCTCGCTAATGAAAGTAGATCTAGCGATATTAGAGGGCAAAGCAATTATAGGTGAGACCGACATGCTTAGACAATGCAGAAGGATGTATTTCACCAAACCGCAAAGGCTTTCGACATCTTCAAAGCCACTAAATCAACCGATATAACCCAATTTATATATAAAATGGTGAGGGCTCTAAGCTATGGTTTACAGGAACATGATATGAGGCATCAAATTCGTTTGACCCATGGCTGCTTAAAAAAAGAAAAGAAGAAACGAACTTTAGAAGAAAAAAAAGGCATGGATTTTGCATATAATTTTCAGAACCTTTTCAATTTATACAGGAAGGAAATGGTAGGAGATGAGAAAGTGGAGATGGAAGAGACAGGTAAGACAAAATAATGGTTAAATGGTGTCAAATAAATAATTAACTTGCCATGTTTGCTTTCAGTCACCTACCGCAATAGTTAACATCGAGTGATTAATTTGTAATAAATAATAATATTAGTTATCAGCTTGTGACTTTTGAAATATGAGTGAAAAAACGAAATTTTACTTAAATATTAGTAAACATTTGGGTAGTTTACCCTTTAAAACATAAAGAGAAATAAGATTGTAATTGATTCAATTACAAGGAACACCAATGAGCTAAGATGCGTGCCCTTGACGAGCCTCTCGACGGCAGCGAACGCTAAGACTGCATTCTTCAATCAAGGCAAACGTGGCCTAATACATCACCATAGATAGATACATCCCTATAACGTAGCCCACCAACAAGACAAAACCTCGGCTCTCTTTCAATCTCTTCAGCATATATTTTCAACTCTCACTTGTTACATCAATCCAATCTTTCTTATTACAAAATTGAAAATCCCCGAAGATTAAATCTTTTGCCTTGCTCTGTTGTTCCTAATAAAAACAGTATATAATCACAGCACTCCCGTAGTCAAACTGCTAACCTGTTCATTCGTTCATTTTGGCCCTTATCTCCGCCTTTGCTGCCGGACATGGGGAGGGTGCCTTGTTGTGTAAAGGTAGGGTTGAAGAAGGGAAGGTGGACGGCAGAAGAGGATGAGCTTTTGACCAAGTATGTTCAAGCCAATGGAGAAGGCTCCTGGAAATCATTGCCCGAGAAAGCAGGTAAAATCACTTTTCGTTTTTGCATGATTTGATCATTTTTTTTGTGTGTTGATCGGTGTACGGTTATGGCGTTTGAAGGGTTACTAAGGTGCGGGAAGAGTTGCAGATTGAGATGGATTAACTACTTGAGAGCCGACTTAAAGAAGGGAAACATTACTGCTGAAGAGGAACAAATCATCGTTAAGTTGCATGCTACCTTGGGAAATAGGTTATTTTCATTTTTTTTTCCATGTTCAATCTCCATAGCCATAGCCACACAGCCATCAAGAAAACAAACTGTCATAATTTTCTTTTTCGCTCGTGCAATCATGCAGGTGGTCTTTGATTGCCGGCCAGTTACCCGGAAGAACAGACAACGAGATAAAGAACTACTGGAACTCTCATTTGAGTAAAAAAATACATAGCTTTAAAATCTCATCAAGTCAAAGTTTTCCCCTGATAATGGAGTCCAAGGAGGAAAAAAACAAACGCTGCTGTACCCAGAAAGACGCCGCAAGTTCTTCAAATTATAAACCTATGAAAAACGTGTCTATTAATGAGGTCGTGCCATTGCCAGGCACTCCAATACTACAAAAGGAAACCTTGTCCGCTACGGCCATTGAAGATCGAATGGCTCTGAATCCTTACGAGACAGATAAACCGATTCTTAGCCCTGCAGGTGGCGGAAAAACCATGGAGGATCCGATCCTAAGCACTACCGGTAACGTTGAAAAAAGGATGGATACTTTAGGCGCGTTCGAAGGGTTTAATGAAATCAAAGTCAAGGATGAATTGCTACAACCAAATGCCGATATGAGTCCAAACAAGACGGCGGCCATTGATGAAAGTGGGGACTCTAATGAAGGAGCTGTTTGGGACTTGATTTCCTGGTGTTCAATAAATACGAGCTCCATCGGTGATGGTGCTGTTGATAATCTTGATTTGGAGTATTGGGATTGGGACGATGACACAGTCGGAAAACGATTTTGAGTGATCATTCCATGGTTAAATTGATCTCTCTCATCTATCTAGCCGTTTCCTTTTCCTTTCCTTTATCATCTTTCTGTGTTTACTTTGAGTTTTTAGCTAGACAGCATCAATCTGTGTTGTTTTCTTTGACATCTCGTGACGTTACCGTTGTATTATAGCTGAATATTCCCACGTAGATACGACTGTACGGTTTATACCCCCTTGAATCAAAATAAATTTTTTAGAAATAAAATTAAACAATAATTACGAAATAAATATGTATTATTTAAATTATTGATAGAATGGGTTGTTGACATTAATTGCCAGCCGTTTGGTTAGGCAAGGTACTTGAGCTACTTTTAGTGGCTTGAATTTAGTTATAGAGGACCACTAAATTAGCATTGGTATTATTCCATTGTAGGTGTAAGATTAAGATTTTCTTTTTAATATTTCAAAACAACTGCATTTGATTCATTACAATACCTACCATTACACTATGTTGTAATTATATAATCTACTAATTATAATAATTATTTGAATATATCTCACATATACATAATTTTAAAAATCAATTTATTCTTTCATTCTATGAAACATAGTCGCACATAAAAGATTAAATAAATATATTCAAACGATTTGGAAAAAATAAAAAATATATCTATGATTACTATCTATAATGAAAAATGAAAACGTTGACAATTAGTTCGATCTCAACTTAACACAAATTTGAAGTGACTGTAACATCTATCAAGATGAAAGTCTAAATCATATGTCAGATCAACAAAAGAATGGAATATTTATTGACACGAATAACGATAATAACTCTAACCTTTTAACATATAAAAAGATTATAAAAATAAAATATTTTTTATACTAGACAAAATAACTTTTATTATAAAGAAAGAAAAGGATGTACTAAATAAATAAAAATAAAAATCTCATGTTTATAAAATAAAGCATAAATCTAAAAAAAATATGAACGATACTCAAATCATATATGTTGACGTTGACCAAATTAAAAATAAGAGGTAAATAAGCATGTGAAGATATATAATAATTAATTATGTTGCGGAAGACAGCTATCAGATAGAGTAAAAACGTAATTGATAATTTGAGAAAATAAAAATTAAAGATAAAAGAGACACAAAATTTTTTGTAAAACCTCTAAATAATATAGGGTAAAAACCACGAGCAACAGTAGAAGAATTTTACTATGAGAAAATAGGAATTACAACTTCTATCAATCTACCAAGGAGAAAACAATGATAATTCTCTCTTGATAAAAAGGAGAAAACAACTCTCAAGAAACTCTCTAAATTCTCTAGTATTGGAAGAAAGCTAGAATGCTTTGGGATGGTTTTGAAGCTAAATGAGCTAAGATATTTATAGTATAAGCTTTAAGGACTAATATTGAAAATCCCCTAAATTACAATAACTAAATGTGAGATTTTGCCATGTCATTTTTCAATCATTATTAGTGTCAACTATGAACCATTATTGTTGCCAACTTACAATGCATTATGAACCATTATTATGCATTATACAACTATTATTAGTTGTATGACAACTAATAACTTTGTTTGACAACTAATAAATTATACAAAATAAACTAATGAATAGAAAACAAATAGAAAAACAAAAAGTGAGAAGAAATATGGTGCGTGCGTGAGTGAGAGAGAGAGATATTAATAAAGATTAAAAAGAACACTAAATTTTTAATTAAAATTAAAGATTCTTTTTGAATAATTCGAGATAATTATAAGATAATATTTTTAATTTTTTTAGTCAATTGATAATTTATAGATATTGCAAGTATAATCATTTTTTTGAATGAAATAAGAAATAAGTAAAAAGATTAGTAGTCTTTATTTTACATTGGAGCTTGACAGATCTCCTCTCGGACTATTTTGAAAACTTCCATCGGACTGTTTGAAAAATTTATAGTCCTGCCGGTTGTGACCATGCTAATATCGAATATCATCTCGCCATGATATCCGATATCTTATTCCTCTCCCTCTTCGGGTCTCGCATCAGTTGGTGGGATTATCATAGACTGCAATGGTAACTGACTCGTCGGTTTCCAAAAACAAGTGGCATTGTGAATGCCCTTCATGCAGAGCTATGGGCTCTCATCTTAGATTTACAAGTTGCTTGGTCAAACAGATTTTAACTCCTTCAGGTCCACTCTGATTGCATGGAAGCCACTAAACTTGTTCAAAACGCTGAGACTACTCCAAGCTCGCTGCTACTGGTTCGTTGGATCCAACGCCTAAGAGAACGCTGCGGGTTTCTCTTATCATCTGGATCCCTCGTGATTGTAACATGCTCGCCGATGGTCTAGTTAAGCTACCATTCCCGTCGTCTTTCACCACTCATCTTTTCGACTCACCCCCTCCTGATCTTATAGCTATTTTCTATAGGGATATCTTCAGCCCTTCTTACCGTAAGATTGTGCCCGACTAATTTTCAAGGCTTCTGCCTCTTACTAAAAAAAAAGAACGAAAAATGACTACGGTGGCTGCGTACCTAAGTTCTCGACTTCAGTCTAGCCAACTACAGCATGCCATGTCATTATAAACACGTCATTGGGCATGTGCTTTACCAATAGGCATGGCGCGTCTCATCTTGCCACGCATATACCAAACGTGATTTTAGGTTCAACAACTAAAAATGCGCCACGTCATCATCAAATTAGATATTTGTTGTCCTTGCACACACTCGTTACGATGAAAGACTTGAAAAGCCTGGGAGATGAATAATAAAGAAACCAGAGATTAAAACTGGGGAAGCAGAAGAAAATACGAATACTAACAAAAATGAAGTCTCAAATCTGGTTAGCCTTTGGAACTTTAGCCTTGTTATTAGCATCAGCTTTGGCCGAGGACGTCTTCGTACTAACCGAAGAGAACTTCGACAAAGAAGTTGGTGAAGATAGAGGGGATCTCGTCGAGTTCTATGCTCCTTGGTAATAATTTCTCCATTGCTCTCGTTTTTCTTATTAATTAGTTAGATTAGAGTTTATATTTCATCTTTTATATGTTTAAGACTAGATCCTCGTTAATTACCGTTAGATCTACCCTCAGCAGATCATAGGAGAACATCGGTTGTTTTCTCAATTTTTTTGCTTTGTTTTTCATGGTTCTAGATCACTGAATTGTTGCTAAAGATGTTACTCTTCAGCCGTATTTATTGTTATTTTTTTGGGATTAAGAGCTTGAATTTGTTATATGTTGTTTTTTTAATGACATTTCAGTTCAATGATCTCAATTCTGGATGCGTGGATTTAAAATAGTCGTTTGTTTTTTGGTTTTCTAATGGAAAAACTTAAGTTCGAGCTAGTTTTATTGTGATTATATAATTTTTTTCCGATCACAGGTGTGGACACTGTAAGAAGCTAGCTTCGGAGTACGAGATGCTCGGGCCAAGTTTTAAGAAGGCTAAGTCTGTCTTTATAGGAAAGGTTAGCGATTTATAATCACACAGTTTTGCTTGTTAATGCATGAATTATTAACCATCAGGGCATTGGAATTGTGATTTTTTTTTACTAATATGAAGTTATTCTTGCTTGTAGGTGGATTGTGATGAACATAAGAGTCTATGCAGCATATGGTGTTCAAGGCTAGCCAACTATTCAGTGGTTTCCTAAATGCTCTTTGGAACCCAAAAAGTGAGTACCGATTAACATGTAGAAACAGCTGCTTTATGTTAGGTTTGTTTTAATCATACCAAAAATTTATTTGAAGCATGCTCTTAGTTGATCAAAATTGTTTTACCTAGGTATGAAGGACCACGCACTGCTGAGGCATTGGCCGCATATGCGAACAATGAAGGAGGTGCATATATCCTTTTACTTTGTAGAATTTTCTTGATGTAGTTCGCTAAATATGGGAGATTCTACCATTACTTCTGTCATATGTGTAGTTAACTTTCTGAATGTACATTGGTCAAAACTTTCTAGGATTTTGCTAAGCTGATGTATTGTTAACAGGGACTAATGTGAAGATCGCCACTTTGCCATCCAATGTTGCGATGCTTAATGCCGATAATTTTGATGAGATTGTCCTTGATGAAACCAAAGATGTGTTGGTTGAGTTTTATGCACCTTGGTAAGCATGTGCTTTTTTTCCCGTCTTTTCTTTTTCACTTTGTTTTGACCAAGTTATGGGTTGGTTTTCTGCCAGGTGTGGCAATTTCCAAAACCTTGCTCCTGTAAGCAATCTATATCTTTGCTTAATAACGTTGGCATGATTATTTTGGGGCAAATGGTGATCTGAATTCTAAGCCTATGTTTTTGTCTCTACAAACCTATGAAAAGGTAGCAACAACATTTAAATAAGAAGAAAATGTAGTGATAGCTAATCTAGATGTTGACAAATATAGGGATCTAGCTGAAAAGTAAGCATGGATTTGTCCAATAAGCTCAGTTTTCTTTTATAAAGTGTGTTAACAGTCAGGGAGTGTATCGATCGGTTTTAAGGCCTACGCTGTATGTGCAGGTATGGAATTAGTGGGTTTCCTACATTGAAATTCTTCCCAAAGGGCAACAAAGCTGGTGAAGACTACGATGGTGGCAGGGATTTAGATGGCTTTGTTACTTTCATCAATGAGAAATGTGCCACCAGTCGTGATGTTAAAGGGCAACTAACTTCAAAGGTTAGTAGTTGTAGAAATCAGAGTAATTCTATATATTTTCGTATTATTTTCAATAGGATATATTACATATTTATATACAAATTATCTCTCTAAAGTAGGAAACACTTAAGAAAAGAAAAATACTAATCCTAGGATGTGATCCCTTAAAATAAGGGATTATATAAATATATGTACAAAATCCCTTAATTAAAAAAATGATATCAAATCATAACAAATCATATCTCTATAATTCGTACACTCCCCCTCAAGCTAGAGAATATACATTGTATAATCCCAGCTTGAATAGGAATTTATTGAAAACAGACTTTGGCAAAACCTTAGTAAGAATGTCTGCAACTTGTTCTTCTGAAGGAATGTATGAAAGTGTGACTGCCTTTTTGTTAACTTGATCAGCTATAAAATGCCTATCAATCTCAACATGCTTTGTCCGATCATGTTGAACTGGGTTCTTGGCAATTTGAATAGCAGATTGATTATCACACAAGACTTTAAAGTGATCCTCTTGATTAGTGCCAAGTTCTTTCAATAGTTTAAGTAGCCAAATTCCTTCGCATATTCTCAATG